TGAAGACTGTCTACAGTATATACTTATTACGACTCGTATTGAAGAATAATATAGCAAAATATTATACTAATTAGTTTGCTATACAGTAAAAATAAAAACGGGATCATGTGAAGGCCAAGCTTTACATATATCGCGGTTTAAAAAGGCGTTCTGACATGCCGTTTGCGTATTGCAAATTGTCGCACGGACGATATGAGCTTTTTCTAAAGAACGACGCATATCTACTGACCAAACACTGAGTTACACTTTTTCCCATATAAGCCATAGGTAAAAATATTCCAAATAAAGCGTTAGAAAAGCACATTTACAAACTCATACAGGCATATATATATATATATATATATATATATATATATATATATATGATGTCCGTATATGAAACTGTGTGAAAGACATTTACCACAACAGTATACTAATAAAATTGGCCTAGAATTGTTTCTTTCTCTTATAAAGTTATTTCGAAATTTATTATAATGTTGTATATAGCTTGAATGTAGACTCTACGTGAAATCTGTTCTCTGCGTTTTTCCAATAGTAACGATACGATTCCATACGATTTCGAGAGCAACGGAAGCTGTTTTCCGTCCGTAAATAACATTTTCTCCGACAATGAAACAGAGCAACAATCGACAACCGCCATCACGGGTAACTGTTTGTTCAGCATTATCTAGTATGTCTGTTTTCCGCGTTAAACAAAGCGATCATTTCAACAGCTAAGTTTTTAATAAAGCTTAATAAATATAGGTGATACGCCTACCAAGTGGATTGTTGCATTTCAGGCAGCGCTATGTGGTGCTTGTAATTGCACATTGCCGTCTTTCCTTCAAGGATTGTCCGCATCTTGAGGCCGGCTGGATGATTTAGTCGAGAACTATGCCAGAGCTCCTTCACTGAACCTATACTGCCTGCCAAAGGCTACTGCGTCCGCCGCCGCTACTTCTGGTGCTATAACAGGCGTTCATTTTTAATGGCTGACGCCGGCTGGGCTATCCGTTGGCAGTCGATACTGAACCTTCGGATTTGCCGAGCTCTTTGCTTCTTACTGCAGCCGCACGCGTTCAGCTGTTTCTACCTCTCCTACCGCTTCAAGATCGATGTCGTCTCGGCCAAAAAGATGAAGACGACAAAGAAGTAAAGACAATAAGGAGACAAAGAAAGACACTCCTCTTTACCTGTTTGTGCCAATGCTGCTAACACGGCTGAAAACAGCAGCGGGCTCCTAGTGTCGAGCAGATATGGTATCTATCCAAGATTTGGCGTTTTGTCTCCCCCTAATACTCCCCTTTCATTCCCATCTCCTCCGACCACACCAGTCATCGCTCCCGCCTAGTTCCTCGCTTCGCACTTTTATGTAGTGACACGCGCTTCGTGGTCGCCTGTCTAGAATGGAATCAAGCAAACCGACACACTCGATTCTAAGACGAACCGAATGCCACATTTATTTTCCATGAAAACTTCCGACGACCAGTGAACAAGCGGGAGTTTAGAAAAGACGAAGCGGCTGGGAGAGATGACAAAGCTTCGGGGGGAACCGGAAGGGACAACTCAACTGAAAGGACAGTGGCGGTGAGCAGCGACGGAAAGCCGCCACCCTCCACTGTAGCCGCTATAACTAGTGGCCATCACTGCGATGACGGTCAAAATTTAAAGCGCAAGAAGTCATTCTACCCTTCTGCGTCCAGGCCGGAGACGAAGGCAGTTAGAAGTCTGCAGGCCTTCCTGTTTTTCTAGACCCCATTTGCCTCAGACACCCTAAGAAGGTTATGCGCGGGCGTGGTATGCTTCGTCGCTCCACTCCTCTTGTTACCATGTGGCGGAAGAGACATCTTTGCTGCAAGGAAAGAGCTTCAATAAGCGTCGATATGGTGCGAGGGTTACGATGGCACGCTCACTAAAAAATGGTCGAAATATACAGCAAGATGTGCTCGGAAGAACCTTTAATAAGAGTAGAGAGGTTGAATGTATGAGCGGATGACAAGCCACGCTCAAGCACGACTGCTTTCCCGTGTGAAACGGTTAAAGGTGCTGGCTTTCTTCCTGCTGCTATCGTACAGAAGAGCGAAAAATAACCCGAAGGCGTTTGGCAAATGCAAAACCGTTATATTCTACGGCTGGTTAGCCTGAACCGATGAGAAATGATTGCGCTTTTGAATTAGGCGTGAAGACTAAGCACTTCAATGAATGCCTTACCGCTATTGCTACTCATGCCGTTGGCGATACCGATCGGTGCAGTCCAGATAATGCATTCAAAGCCATTTTGCTATTTAGATGCCATTTAACTTTGTAACCTGGTTAGTCCTGACAACTGCATAGGTGGGACAGTGGCCTAACGTTTCTACAGCCAAAGGACTCAAGAGACATAAATGTACAACCTCAAGGTTTCGTATTTTGATACTATGAATAGTTCATGGTGTACATTACCGCATACACTAATCGCGTAAAAGAAGATAACAATAGGGGGTGTGAAAAGCTATCGCGTAAAACAATGGCTTCTTGTACATTTTTTTTTTTATCTACTATTGATAGTGAAAATATTCTTTAGGCACCTAATTTTATTTTTGAGAAAAACTGAATAATGACAGTTTTTGCTACCAATAACAAATATGTGCACTATAAGGATTATCGCGTACAACATCTGCTTGTAATTTATATTTCAAGAAACGAACAGTATCTCTCACAAAAGCGGCTCTTTCAACCCCACTGAGTATCTGCTAGATTTTAAGTATTATGAAAGATTACACTTTACCACAAACTATTAGTGAAATGACACGGATAATGCTCCAGGTTAGGTTAGGTTTACATCATAAAGGAAAACTTGGCTTTTTACACTGTGTGCAATAAAGCAGCTCTTTATAATAGCCCTATGAAATATTTTTGTTTTTTTACTACGTTTGCTACTACTTTTAGCAGCGTGTTCTTTCCCATAATCCATCGATTAAGACACTGCAAAAATCCGTATTATCCGTCCAAAGACAGGCTCTTTCACAAAACTTTTGGTATATTAAAATGTGAGAAAAGGAGTCTTATTTGATGACCGGAAAACTATCGAAGAGTTCTTCTGACGTATTTAGCGCATCCAATGAACGCTTCAATTGTAAACAGAACGCTTTATCCTTTTAAAGGCTCCGTTTCAACTCATTCCTTATTAGGCTTTTCCAGCTTCCCAGCCAGTTTTACGGATCTATCTAAATATCATAAAGGAAGTGTAGAACCTCAGTAGAAATTGACCCCTTGCAGGTGTTTCTAAAAATTCCAAAGGGTTATCGACATCCTGCACAAGGGCTGTCATTGACAGTGACCTGGATTTTATTAAGCAAAAATGGGTTCTGAAACCTCATACAAACATTTTTTAGGCAGCTTTTGTAGATATTGCCTTCATAATCAAAATCTCAGCTTCGCAAGGAACTTTTTGGCCCTCAGTTGCTGTCCAGTGATTTTCGCTGTTGAAACAGAACATTCGCTCATTACACTAGATGCTAACTGAGTTCATGTGAGGATTCGTAAAATGGTACGCTATAACGATCGTATGCGAAGTCGAGTGATAATCGATGCATAAGTATTTATAGTCATAAAGTCGCCCTTGAACGTAACCATTAGCTCTTCAATAACAAGGGCTTATATGGACGCCCTTTCGTTAGCTGATTGTTCATGGAGAACACTAACTAATCTTACTTCTTGCTAGGACGCAAAGATCTCAGCTTATTAAACGATCTTTAATCCCCATATTAAAATGACTGGTGGCATCCTGCCGAAAAGGTAGAAGTGCTTTTTTTTTGTTTTATGTCTTTAAATACCCATTTCTCATTCCCAGCCTTTATACCAATAGGCAATTTACTTTCAGTTCTGAATTATGGCACCAATGAATGCTAATAAACAAACTGGTCATGTTGCAGTGTAACCTGGTCCTATAGTTATGATGTAGCACGTGATAATCCACCAAAAACCAATTCATAGGAAAAAAACATGTAGTCTTTCTGGGCCTTTGAAAGAGTAACATTCTTAGTTGAGAGCACTTAATCTGACAACGATACAAAGGAACCTTATTTATTTGAGCTATGATTAATCGTATATTTACATAACTGATATATAATGTTTCCTACCGAAGGGTATATACACTTGAAAACGAATCTGCCTATTTTATTTAAGCTTAATTGGGTAATAATAACAACAATGCGCTTGGTTACGTTGGCAAATGTGATACTGGTACTAAATTATTGACCCAGTTTGCAGAGGCGGATCGCGTGTTGTCAATAAGCCGTCTTTCTCTTTACTTCCCTTAGTAGAATGACACAATTTTTTCGTTATTTTTTTTTTTTTTTTTTGTTAAATGGTAGCGTCTGTGCAACGCAAGGAATTGATCTAGCGTCTTTTTTTCCTATCTCGATTGCTTACACAATGGGTCTACTATTGGATCATACCACAAAGCAGCTGGTGTTGCTCCTCAACGGAGTTTCGGACATTTTCTTTCTCCTTTTTCCTCATATGAAAGCAAGTCTATATTAAATCATCGTTATCATCTTGCCTATGGCTAGTGTAAGCGCATTTCTTCTTTGCTTTGCCCCCCTGCCGCCCTACTACGTTCGGCCCTGGTGATATTGCACACGACGCAGAGATACAACCATTAATTGTCCTAACAAACCCGCTTTCACTTCGCCATACGTCCATTATTTCTAGTTTCGCCCACGTTGTAGAAGTTATTCGGATGTTGTTACTCACACCATAAAATATCTAACTCTTTGGGGAGCCACAAGATCTTCCCAAGTTTATCCAGTTGTGTACACTCTTCACTCGTTCACCTTCATCGTTAGCCCCATTCTACCATCTTACTATCCTATTTCCTCGCTTCCTCGAATGACCGATCTTTGTTTCGTTTGGTCGGTCATCGCCAGCATTATGTATGCTATTCTGCTAGGCAGGGCAGTGGAGCATTTTTCATGATGCGACCTTATATACATGCTATTCCCTATTCCATCATGTTTCCGACGGTTACAATGTCTCACCATTAATCTTACGGAAGCGCGGGCGTCATAACGGGTCATCCTCGACGACTGACGTTCTGACTGGAATCTCACAACTGACCTGACCACTGTTTCGGTCGCTCTGCGTGCCTACCGTTTTCGTGTCGTTGTAACTCCGTGCTGCCGGTATTCTTCCGTTAGCTTATGACAACGGTTGAAACGCACGTTAGAGGCCCACGTTATTGTCAGTCAGCGATAGCGACCGTCTTAAACATTCTCAGCTGGCACCCTTCTTTTTTCCCTTACCACCTATTAAAGTCAGCGAATAATTTTGCGGAACAACACTCTGTGTCACGCATATCCAACAGAGTTGGATTGGCTCAACTTTGTAGTATGATATCCAAGTGTAGCACAAGTTGTTGAAGTGGCATTGCCGTTAACGTACGGCAGTTGAACTACAATTGCCAACACTGTAGTACGCACTCGATGTTGAACACCAATTAATCATAAACGTTCTGGGCACACATTTACACACCTGTTACTCATTCAGTTCTACTTAGGTGTATCCCAAGTGAAGCTCGTCTCGCCATTCTTCATTTGGGCCGACATGTAACTTAAGGGGCATAGTAATATTACTGGCTACCATATTTTGATGAAACTTGGCCATTATCGCATGTAACATCACTCTTATCACATTGTCGTATAACGTACCGGTCAATTAATACGAAACGATTCAATGCGGCTGACTCTTTCTCTGCACACGTCCGCGTCTCGTGACGGGAAGATGCGAACTCCCGCTATAAGGGGAAGTGCGATTTGTTCCTAAGCGTTCTTCTAGTTAGTGAATGAACATACAAATGTGGTGGTAAGCCCTTTCCTACTTGGAAGCCTCTTTCCGCCGCCGTAAGGACCTCCCTCAGCCCTTGCAGCCGGCATCGCTGTTTTTCTGCTCACGCATGCGCCGCAATCGTCCCCATTAGTGTGTCCTACGCCCACCACCATCGCCACCGCGCCCATATCTACGATCATTCGTTTGTCTGCGCCTGCAGCTACCTTGCTTTAAATGCCGAAGCCTGAGTTTGTGCCCGTGGGGATACAGTCTTAATATGCCGTGAGCAGATCCCGCTGCCAACTTCAGCCGCTAAAGTGGAACAAGACAAAGAGCAGAAAAGGAAGGCCGCTTGTCAACTTGGCTTTAATAAACTACGTGAGCCTTTCGTTAATCATCAGGCGTTCTGGCTATGCTAATACCATTACCGTCAGCTTCTGCCGCAACTGCCAGGACATTTCCTGATTAGCGAGTCAAATACGACAACGCAAGCTTGGTATTAAGCACTATTTTGGTTTATTCATCTGTCCCAATATGAAAAAAAGACGCTGCCACATGGGAGGTTCATCTGAACTTACACGAATTACGCCAACTACATTAACTTACTTACCGATTTTAACGAAAAAGATAGCTAGCATAGGTTTCATCTGTCCAAGATTCAGCCGATCCACCTACTCAAATTTTACTAATCTGATCCAGGATTAATTGGTAGCGATAATAGCGTGTCACAGTATGCGTGATATAACAAACGAATTGTTTAACTGCGCCGTGGCTGACGGCGTAATAAAATTCGTTCATACTCGAAGACCGTACAGGACCGAAAAAGTAGCGTCGGAAATTTCAGTTCGATCCCATGTATAGATACTAAAATTAGATCGGAACAATTCCGCCAATGGGCCAGATCCCACTTCTTATTCGATATTCTCGTTCGTTTTGTCACTAACACAAAGGTGTTTGTTGTTAATCAATTTACTAGTACAAATAAAAGCGGCGCGAAGCAACATCGGGGTCTTATCCAAAAAAATTGTTCGAAAAGTTCTGAAAATGTACGACCCAAATATGTAAAAATTTAAATTGAGCTTGAATTTAGCTTGAAGTTGCTACGTATATTCCTGCTTTGCTAGTGAGCTAGCATTATCGCTATACAGGATACCTAATAAATTAGATAATTAGGGATAGCTTCTTAGTATGACCTTCATGTTTCCAACTCATCTGCCATAAAAAATGATTGTGTCATGTACTAACCGACTGAATATAATGTAAACAAGCGTTTAGATCATTGCTTGATTTTTCTGCTTTTCGAAGCACCGCAAGATATAGTGCTCTTCACTGTACGGGGTTTTTCTATTGTGTTTCCAGCGTTTCCACTGCTTTCGTCAAACAATAATTTTTACACCTGACTGGAAAACAATTTATAATTTCAATGAGCCTTTGGAAGTTCGCAAGCAGAATTGCTTCTAAATCAACGAGCGGTACAAATTTTCAGCCGTACGAAACCCAGACAATCGTATATAAAGCAAAACATTTTTGTTAGACAGATTAATCAAATGTCTAATAGTGCTTAAAACAACATTCTGCAAAATGAAGTGTTATTGCTTGCCATGCGAATTCACGTAGTGTTAAAAAGGAATGGGAAACAGCCTAGAGTAACGGACACAGAAGACGAAAAGTCCTCATCGCTATATTAGAAGGCAGGTGCATACATTAAATAGCTGATATTATGACTGAACATTTCTGGAAACACCTGAGATACATTAGCGAAACGAAATACGCGTAGCAGAAGGCACGCATGTCTTCATGATAAGGTCGATCGGAATTAGTGAGCCAGCTTCATATAGACATTTCAAACAAATCCACGTAATCTATACATCGAATGAGCCATTTGTGTGAATCTTAGCCAATTTGCGCCCACAAAATACTGTGTGTGGATTTTTTTTAATATTAGGATTTGTAGGTTCCTTTAATGATTTATTGTAAATTGTCATGTAAGCGACGTATTATAGATACAAGCGTTAAATTACTCCGCCTTAAAGCATCAACTCATCACGCACAGTGAAATGTCGTATGGGAAAAGGGTCCCATATACGTTGGAGGCGGTCATCGGCAGTAGTGCGCTGAAATGCTTGCAAGGTGATAGAGAGACCGTTGTCTACAACTCCGATAAGGTGTAACATGGGGAGCTGCAATGCCAACACCCTGTCGGGATTACACATTGCGACACTTCGAAAGAAAGCAATGAGCCGAAGCTCTTGACTCATTCAATTAAAACGCAGCAGATGGTAAGTCAGCGCTGTGCTCGAGTATTAAGCACGCTTCAGGGATACGGCAAGAGTTCCTTGCCATCGAAGAATGGGTAGGTGGCTCAATATCTACTGCGTGGAGCTATGCTTTACCACTGTGGACCGCGAGACCTCTGCCACCGAGTCATCCGAATTTAACGGAAACCCCTTGCCAATTGGTGTCCCGCTACTCTCTAGAGCGCGAGGTATAGATGAGAATCCGGAGCTTTGTTCGTTGTTACGGAGTTTGCCAGAAAACAAAACCAAGCTGTGAGCGTCAGCTGCCCCAGATGTTCATTAATACACCGACATGGGCTTCTACATGGTTTTATAGGGCAGCTACGTGTTTCGCGACGTTATACTTTGTTCGTTGTAATAAGTATAGACCACTACATTCTTTTCGTTCACCTTTTCCTAACTCGTTACATAATAGCACGCGTCGTGTGGAAGGCGCTATCCGCTACTTAGGATAGCCACGAGGCCGTCGTCACGAGTTACATCGTGGGTCAGGGCATCGAACAGTATTTAACGCACTGCTACATTCCATATGAGTGCTGTTGTGGCCCACCCGTGGGCAAAAAGGCTAATGAAGCGGGCGATAGTTAGAGAGCGGCTGTGAGCGCGTTTGCCGCAAGCTGGCTCCTCCGCTCCCGTGATGCTTCCAGTAATCGCTTTTATGGCAAACATTAAGGTAAGCGTAAGCGAGGTCCTGTTGCATGTGCAACTTTGGTCAAATTGCTCCACGGCTTCAAAGCCGTATTACTTAATGAGCGCCCAGGGTCGCGATCAATCCAACCGTCCGGTCTTTTCGTACCCAAGCTGTGGCCCAGGTCCGGCATTTCTGACGGAGACGAGTCCCTAAAAAACTTTTTCGTACCGCCAAAATGGCGACAAGTCGTCACCTTTCCGAAACTGTTGTCCAGATTCGGGCCTAGGCGGAGCATTAAGGGACGAATTACCCGGTTCAGTTATCGATTACGCGGGCCACGGCAGTAATGTGTCATCGCTAACTTACTAAATATCAAAAGAACGGATGCAGCAGAATGAGAGCATCTTGTCTGATTGCGTAATCGACGCAGAAACATATCGTCATTATAAATGCATTTCCTGTTCCGGCTAGCCGTGGGTATAAAATACCCTCAACCGGCCAATAAATCTCGGTCGCTAGCGGTTGAGCTTCATCATTGCAACTAATATATATATATATGCTTGTATGTATTTCCTGTTGAATCAACCAGCTACTTTCAACGTCCTAATTAATGTTTTTTGTTCAATTCGCGTTCTACTCGGACTTGTCTATACAATGCAGCGTCTGAATCTCTCAAGATTGAAGGGTGCGCCTTTGTCCACACTGATAGGTTGACGTTTTACTGTGCTCAAGTAGTCGTAGCTTTAATTCGTTCAAATTATCGCCCAGTGTTTAAGAACAACATACAAACCTGTACAACAGCAAGCATGCTTGATAAATTATACAATTAGAAACATCTCTGTATACCATCGCAATGTTAAATGCGTATGCATTTTCCACATCATCAATGGAATTGTCCCTACATACATAGGTTCATCCAGACGTTCTTGCACGTTTTGTTTGTTGTGCGTTCGATGATAATAGAACTAGAGCCAATCGAGGCTCAAAAAACAGCCTGTTTTCATGTTTGGCGTTCTGTATGCAGTCTTGTGGAAAAACGATATACGGAAGGCAGAAAACTTTCGATTTTAGCCAAAATATGCCAGCTCGATATTTACGACATCAGTGTTAGAATATTGGAGATATTAGGTATGATCGGCCCTATCCGGGCACTCCGGGTTTTTTCGCATTGCATCTTCTATATTGTAAATAGTCTTTATTGGTCAGCCCATCCCTTATCTGGCTGTGAAGTATTTAACAATATTGCTTCAAACAAGATTTGCTTTCAGTAATACTATTAAGCATCAAGAACGATCGATAAAAGCAATTATATAACCATCAAGTTCTTCTACGTTGTGCTGATTTTACTTACAGAAGTACGATATCTTATACTATATATATATATATATATATAGGAAAAAAGAAAAAGTGCTTCTCCATCTTCATTGTGATTGCATCGCGTTGATGCTGTACGTCTCTATATAAAAGGAAGAAATGCGCCATTATCTGTCGTGGCTCTAACGAAAAACGGATTCGTTCAGACTTGGACGTTCTAAGTTCTTCCGCTACATTTGGAATAAGGAATTTTTATTGTTGATGTTGGTGTTTCTCGGATAGTCTTAAGGACCAACTCGATAGGATACTTCCTTTACTTAACTGTTAGTTAGGTTACTTCATATAAGCACTACACTCCGTAGCCAGTTTTTTTTTTTAGTAGGATGTAAGGATTTGCTAATTGTGCTTCGAATTATAAATACATTCTTGGAAAATTGAATTTCAAATCAATTCGATATAAGTGTGTCAAAATTTTTTCAATACTTTTTTTGGACCTCCGTCTACAGGGAGATCCACTTAATTTTACGTTATTACAACCGTTGTCGGGAGCATATATTTCTGTAAATATTCTGTCTTGGTTGAGGATCTCAAATGAAAAGAATTGATACGCATTGCTGAACAGAACATTAAGAACCGGCTCCTATTCTACATGTCCTGACATAAAAGCATCATCTGATTATAAACTCAGCTTTCTAATGCTGCTATTCAACGGTACCGGGAGTGCCATGCACAAACAAAAGTCCCTAATAT